TTTTTTTTTTTTTTGGGTACTGAGAATCAAACTCAGAGCCTCACACTAGCCAGCAGGCGCTGTGCCACTGAGCTATATCCCAGCCCTCTTTTTGTTTTTGTTTTTGAGATAGGGTCTCGATATGTAGTTCAGGCTGGCCTTGTACTCACAGTGGTACTCCTGCCTCAGGCTCCTGAGTGCTGGGATTACAGGCGTGCACCACCACAGCCCAACTTTTCTTTTTGAGATAGGGTCTCACTCTGTTGCCCAAGCTGGCTTTGAACTCAATATCTTCCTGCTTCAGCCTCCCAAGTAGCTGGTACCACAGGTCTATGCCACACACATTGAATCCTAGTTTCCTTCCTTTTTTTTTGGTCTTGTTTTGAGACAGGTCTTGGTGTGTAGCTCAGGCTGGCCTTGAACTTGCTACATAGCCCCAGAGTAGCTAGTACAACAGGTGTGTGCCACTATGTCTGGCTCTACCCTCTTTTTTTATTTGTTGAAAATTAAAGGGGCTGGGAATTTTAGCTCAGCGGCACAGCACCTGCCTGGCAAGCGCAAGGTTGTGAGTTCGATTCCCAGTACTGGAAAAAGAAAAAAAGAAAATTAAGAGCTGGGATAGGAGTATAGCTTAGTAGCAGAGCATTTGCTTAGCAATCACAAAGCCCTGGATTTGGTCCCCAACACCACCACCAAAAATAAATAAATAGAAATAAATAAATAAATAAATAAGCTATCTCACATTCTAGTTCCTACCTAAAGCTTCCCTTTTCTCTGAATTCCCACACACTGAGAGTTTTAACTTCTCTTCTCACTCTTGAAATCTGCAACATGCCCTACAAGCAGCTGGGCATCATGGCCCCTTATGCTCTACTGATGTTCCCGGCAAGGGACCTCGGTGACTTGCAAAAGACATGATCTTTGATATCAGATGGCAGCTAGCTCTGGAGCGCAGGGACCCTGTCTGCTTTCGTTCCATTCGCCTCCACTGTGACACCCGGTGTATAACGAGAGCTGAATGGACGGCTTGAGTGTGAATCTCAGCCGTGGCATCGCTTCTTTCGAACATCATTCATTCAAAACTTATTCATACCGTCATTAAGTATTTGTTGCATATTTTCTAAGAGATAAGCAGCCTGCAGACACTAGACACTGGGCACATAGTGTCCATAGAAGAAGATGTGGCCCCTGCCTTCAAGGATCTCAACATTTAGTTATGGGTGACGCCAGGCGTGCTGGCACAGTCTGTAATCCCAGTACCCAGAAACCGAGGCAGGAGGATCTCTGCAAGTTCAAGGCCAGCCCGGTCTAGTTATGGATGCTGTTGCATGATTAAGGAGAAAAAAGACAGCCAGGGTGAGGCCAAGAGGGAGACGGAAGACCACACTGCAGGTGGACCTAGAAGGGAAGGGCATTGGAGCCTCTGGGAGTCAGACTGTCACGTGCCTCGTGCCGTATTTGGGAATGTGAAGTTGACTACTGACACTCTCAGATCGCACGGAGGGACTGGAGTTCGGGGAGTCTCCAGTACATATCTGCATTTTTTTTTTTTTTATGTTTTTTCTCCGGTACCGGGAACCAACTCATGACCTTGCGCTTGCCAGGCAGGCGCTTTTGCCGCTGAGCTAAATCCCTAGCCCTGTATCTGCATTTGGGAACTCTCATCCAAGCAGCAACAAGGAGAGCAGTTTGGGTTAGCAGGCGTGGTGGTGCATGCCTGGAATCCCAGCACTGTGGGAGGCTGGGGCAGGAGGGCTTGACAAGTTTGAGCCCAGCCTGGGTACCACCCAGGAGAAAGATACAGAGGCCTCAACCACAGCAGTAGCCATGGGGGTGGAAAAGGGGAGACAGATGTGAGAATATAAGAGAGAGAATCTAATGGGTTTAATGATAGGTTTGGAAATGAGGGGAACTGGGAGAGAAAGAAAATCTTTCTGGGCTGGGAATATAGTTCAGCAGCGTAAGCGCCTGCCTGGCAAGCACAGGTCATGAGTTCAATTCCTGGTACCAAAAAAAAAAAAAAGAAAATCTTTCTAAATTCTAGATTCCCAGATCTCTTGTCTTAGGTAACAAGGTCAGTGGTCAGGGAATAGGCAAAGAAAAGCAAGTTGAGGAAGATTGCCTAATCTCCCTGAGCTTTGATCTAGTTTGTTTGTTTGTTTTTTTTTTGGTACCAGGAATTGAACTCAGGACCTTGGGCTTGTCAGGCAGGTGCTTGTGCCACTGAGCTATATCCCCAGCCCTCCCTGAGCCTTAATTATCCATTTGCAAAATGATGTAGTGAGAATCCAGCTCTGAGGGTTGTCATGAGAATTAAATAACCTGAGAAACTGCCAGGCATAGAGTAGATGCTCAGTAAACACTTCTGGCTGATACTAATCCCATACTAATCCCAATACTAATACTGATACTAATCCCAATACTAATCCCTTCTCATGTGCTAAGGACACATTCCTTGCACAACCCTCTCTTTTTTTTTTTTTCTGGTACTGGGAATCGAACTCACGACCTTGCGCTTGCCAGGTAGGTGCTGTGCCACTGAGCTAAATCCCCAGGCCCACAACCCTCTCAAGTAGGTACTATTATTATCTCCACTTTACCAACACAGAACCTGCAGAAGTGAAAAAACTTGGACAAAGTCAATCAGGTCCCTGAGCAGCATAGCTAGCTTCAGTACCCAAGCAGCCTCGTTCCAGAGCCTGAATCTGATCCACCCCACTACACCTGCCGCCTTTGCCAGACTCGAGGGAAGGCGGGGAAGTTGCCAGGGACGTGGACAGGCCTGAGCCAGAGATGGTTTCCCGGAACGTTTTTATTTAGAAATATGTCTTCATAAGTTGGTGGCAGCCCAGGGGCTGATGGCCCTTGTCTTGTTTGTCCATGCTCTGTCCCTGCCCAGGTCACTGGTCCTTGGGGCTAAGGCACAGGGCCAAGCTCTACAGCATCAACATCCCGGCCAGCCCCCAACGTCTGGGGCTTGGGGCTGATGGGAAGGACGAACCGGCCCATCCTGGCGTGTCTTCCGGTTGGAGGGCCGGGCTCCTGGCACCAGGACCTCGGGGCCCTCTCTTAGCAGGGGCCAGTGTCATCCACAGGCCAGCTGTGGCCAGGTCCTGGTGGACGTGACGTTGGTAGGAACAAGGGGCGAGAAAGGCTAATTTTCTGGTGCTGGATCCAGTTTTTCTTCCTGAGAGGTGGAGGCGGAGGCGGGAGCCTCTTCCCCACCGTTGAGGGGTTTCTGCTGCTCACTGCTGTTAGGTGAGGGGGTCCGGTTTCTCTGAGATCCCCACCGGGTCAGGCGCTTTAGGGAGGAGTCTTGGCGGGCAAGCAGAGGGGGCTGGAAGCCTGTGAAGGAGCTGCTGGTGGCTGGGCGCTTATCTGTCAGGGAGAAGGCAAGCAAGTAAGGAGAACAACGCATGCGCGGGGCGCGGCCCGGGGGCCCTCCGTTGCCATCGTTGCAGGCCCTGGATCTCTGGAGAGGTCCTGCTCTCTCTTCTCCCCATCAACCCCGGGGGGAAGCTCCGCTGCCTACGCCTCCTCACCTCCAGGCTCGATTGGATGCATGAGCCTGTTCATCTGGACGTTCCAGTGTTTCACATTGGTGCTGGCCTGGCGCAACTTCCGCTGGGCAGCCTGTGGGGGGCCGGTGGGAAGTGGGTCAGAACCACCGTCCCTGGCAAGGGACCTGGACCTTGTCAGATCCACAGACCTTTAGCACGGGACCAAGACTACTGACCATCTCTGTAGAAAACACATGTATGTGCAGAAATAGTTACGTGCACGTAAGGAGAAACAGGGAGATGGAGACCTGCAAATGGGATGAGACTGAGAGATGGAGGGAGAGGGGTGGGGGGTGGGGAGGGGAGGAGGATATGAAAAGAACTAAGATGCGTTCTGCAGGGGCTGGGGGTTTAGCTCAGCGGCACAGCGCCTGCCTG